GCAGAAATAGAATTAATGCATAAATCATTAACTTTTACAACTGTTCTCATACACTAATTCTACATCACCGTTGGGCATAAGTAGAATTAATGCATAAATCATTAAAATTATCAACTTTTCTTATACACTAATTCTACATCACCGTTGGGCAGAAGTAAAATTAATGCATAAATCATTAAAATTATGATACTATTATTAACAACGTTGTTCAGAAAATAACAACATCATAATCATGTCAAAACTCTTTTTCTCCAATTAAATACCACATTGGTTCAAATAACTAGAGAATAAACATTTTCTTTAGCAGCGGAAAAAAATCTCTTTTTCTCCAATTAAATACCACATTGGTTCAAAATAACTGGAGTATAAACAACTTTTCTTTGGTGTGGAAAACTCTCTTTTCCTTGAATTTACCCACAGGGAAAATTGCTTTTTCTATTTTCTTTAATCCATTAATCAATTTCGGAAATAAACATTTCTTTGGAAAAACTTTCCTTTTCCGATTAAATATCACGTCGCTTCAAAATCACTGGAGAATATACTTTTTCTTTAGCAGTGAAAAAAATATTCTCAATTTCTTGAATTTTCCCACAGGGAAAAATTGTTTTTTTTTCTATTTTTCTTTTTGAGCTATTTTTCATTTTCCAGAAATAGATATTTGCTGGAAATAGAAAAAAAGAAAACTCATTCTTTTATGTACTTTGTTCTTTCGCCATTTAAAAGCGGCAAGGGGGCCCTATTGCCCACGCCAGCGTGGTGCTTTCTTCGCTCTCCCGTGTTGAGCCGCATAACTGGCTGGGCAGAATTCGGCCGGCACGCGCACTACCGGGCTGAAAGTCGGCCCGGTGAATCTGCGCCGTCCGTCTGCATCCTACGGCCGAGCGGCGAGATCAGGCGATATAACAACCGTCGCCGCGGCTGTGAGTCCCGGAACCCTAGCTCATTTCGCCGTTTGCTTTCTCTCTCTTCTTCGTCGCTCTCTCTTCTCTCTACCCCACACAGAAGCGAGGCGAGCGCAACCAAGCGAGCAGCGAGCGGGCGGGCATCCATGGCGCCGCCGGCGGCCCCCTCGCCGGCGTACGCGCTCCCAAGCGCGTGAGCACGCCGCCGTCAAGCGGCCTGGCCGCTACCCCCTTTTGGCCTCTTTCTTTCTTCTCCTGGCCGGCGAAGGGCGGCTCGGCTCTTCTTCTCGCCACACACGGCGAGGTAGATCCGTCCCCTTTTTTCCCCTTCTTTCCGTCCCTTTTCTCTTACGGGATTAACCCGTGGTGGGGTTGGGGTCAAAATTAGGGTTAGGGTTCGGGATGGGGTTTTCTTGTTCATCTTCTTACGCGGCGGTTGCCCTTCCTTCTTCCCTTTTTCTTTCTCCGATTTGGACTGATATCTATTTTCCGAACCGAAGGTGGGGATTAGGGTTAGGGTTAGGGTTCGTGTGCCGACCCCTGTTCTTTTCTTTCCTTCCTTTCTTTCTTTGATCCGAACACGGATCTCTTACATTCTTGCGTGTGGCGCGTGTAGAAACAATGGTGCTATCATCTTTTCCCCTCGCAGCGGTGGCGGTGGTTTTCCTTTCTTCTTTTACCGGTTAGGGTTAGGGATCTGAGAGGCAACCTTGGCCTGATGCCATTGTTAGGATCGTAGGATTGGTACCTCTGTGTGTAACCCGTAGATCCGCCTGGATAATAGCGTCGTGACCTCACAGACACACCGGTGTCGAGGCAGCTCCGGCTCGGTGGCGAGGTGCAGTGGTGGTCGGAGGGGCGGTGTAGACCCTCTGAGAGGCGACGGTGTCATCGGTGGGCTCATCCCATCACTTTGGTAGCACTCTTTAGGATCGGATTAGGGTTTCTCTCAGAGGTGGGTGGCGGCTCCCTTGAACCTCGTAGTCCGAGCCTCACCCCACCCTTCCTTTTATGTGTCTTTGTCTGACGAGGGCCCACCAACCGGATTAGGGTTGGGCTCCCCGATCGAGGAGGAGCAGAGATAAGGGCCCAATAGGCCGTATTGGTGGAGATCAACTAACATTCTCCTCCTTGATCTTATTCCATCTTTCACTTTTATATCATTTACTTTTGTTCATTCCATTACTGATTAGCTCATAGAGCATGTCTCATAAATCACGGTCCATTGCCGATAGACTTAATAGCTACAACTCACTACTCTGTTCTGAAATAGATACTTATCTTTGGGCCTTCTTTTGTCCAGGAATATTTTAGGTTTTCCCTTAAACCCAAGCTAGCTACATGTTCTCTGAACACCATGTCCTTTGAACATGTTGGGTGGTAAGCCTTTTGTAAGCGGATCCACGAGCATCCTTTCTGTTCTTATATGCTCAAGACTTATGACTTGATCCCGGACTTTATCTTTCACAACATAATACTCTATGTCAATGTGTTTGGCAGCACCACTTGACTTATGTTGTGAGCATCCTGTACTGCCAGATTATAATCGCAATATTAGTGGTCTATAGATGTCGTCAATCACCTTCAAACCGGGTATGAACTTCGTTAGTTAGTTCACCTGCCCGTTGCCTCATAACACGCTACAAAATGTCATACATTGTGGACGATGTAGTGACAGTTTACTTTGAGCTTTTCCACGAAATAGCTCCCCTTTGCGAGATGATAGAAAATCCACGTCTGGATATGCATTCACTCTCGCATAATTAGAATCTGAATATCCCACCATGTGGAGTGAATCAGATCTTCTATATGTCATCATAAGGCCTTTCGTTCCTTGCAAATAATGCAAGACTTTCTTTACTAATTTCAATGTTCTATTCCAGAATTGCTCTGGAATCTGCCAAGTAAAACCCGGTAACAAATGCCAAGTCAGGGCACGTACATACTTGAGCATGTTGTAAGCTTTCGACAACTGAAGCATATGGAACCACTTTCACTTTATCGATTGAGCTCATATTGGTTCCTGGGGCATTGAAAATCCCCATATCTGTCGCCCTTGACTATAGGAGCAGGTGAGGGACTACATTTGTGCATACTGAATTTCTTTAAGATCTTTTCCATGTATGCCTTTTGTGACAGTCCTTATACCCTTTTTCTTCTATCTCGGTGAATCTCGATCCCTAGAACGAACGAGGCTTCGCCAAGATCTTTCATATCAAATTTCTTTGTCTCCAGTGGTAGACTGACATCACTACTAGCAAGTAAGATATCATCTACATATAGGACAAGAAAGATAAACTTCCCATTCTTAAACTTTGTATTGACACAATTGTCCTCTACATTCTCTTTACTTTGTATAGACACAATTGTCCTCAACATTCTCTTTAAAACCCAAAATTCTTTATTGTCTGATCAAACTTCAAGTATCACTGTCTTGAAGCTTGTTTTAATCCATAAATGGATTTCTTTAGGCGGCATTCCATTCGTTCTTTTCCTTCCATGACAAAACCTTTCAGTTGTGCCATGTAAACATTTTCCTCCAAGTCTCCGTTGAGAAATGCCGTCTTTACATCTATCTGATGTAATTCTCAATCGTAATGTGCCACTAATGCCATTATGATTCTGAGTTGGTAGTGTGGAAAATAGAGTAGTGCTTTGCACTCACTGAACAGGAGAGTCGATAGGAGCAAAAGCAGAGCAAGGCAAGCGCCTACTACCATGACACTCTTCGGACGCATGGAAAAGACAAAGAAACATATGTTCCATTTGGTTGAAGCACAGCGCTGTCGTCAGCGTTGACCGTCGGGTGAAGCCCAGCAGCACGAACGCAAGCAAGTGACGGGCCAAGCCTGTTAGACGCCTACGCGAGATGTGTTGGCACACAGCCCAGTGTCCACGCCTGCGTGACAAATAGCACACGAATTCAATGTCAGCAAGAGCCTCCTCGAGCGGGCCTGCAGGATGACTGCAGTGGAGGATACGAAGGCAAGGAGGCTCCGATCCTACTGTGATCAGGTCACAGATAACAGCATCCTTGAAAATTATGAGGTCATGCACGTAGAAAACGCCTTACCAGGGTCAAAACAAAGACGTTTCTGTTAGGATCGTAGGATTGGTACCTCTGTGTGTAACCCGTAGATCCGCCCTGGACAATAGCGTCGTGACCTCGCGGACACCGGTGTCGAGGCAGCTCCGGCTCGGTGGCGAGGTACAGTGGTGGTCCAGAGGGGCCGGTGTAGACCCTGCAGAGGCGATGGTGTCGTCGGTGGGCTCATCCCATCACTGGTAGCACTCTTTAGGATCGGATTAGGGTTTCTCTGTAGGTGGGTGGCGGCTCCCTTGAACCTCGTAGTCCGAGCCCTCACCCCCACCTTCCTTTTATGTGTGCTGTGCGACAGGGGCCCACCAACCGGATTAGGGTTGAGCTCCCCCGATCAGGGAGCAGAGATAAGGGCCCAATAGGCTGTTGGGCCTATTGGTGGAGATCAACTAACAGTTTCTTGATTTAATTCAACAATCCAATCTTTAGATGGTTCTTTGGTCTCTCCGCCAAAGAAAAAGTTTTACCATCTGTTTAAATGAAACATATCCACAGAGCATTCCTCAAACAAAACTCACGTAGCAGCATACACGCTGGGGCTCCAAACAACGTATGTAATGTTTGGCACAACTTAAAGAAAAAACAAGACTAAAAAACACCAGCAGTATATATCACGACCTTATTCAGATACATACGCAAACAAAACACTGGTTATTCAGACACATGCGCCACTTGATCAGGAGACACCAAAACGCATCTTCTCCTTCCTCGATAAGCAGAGCACCAAATTCTTCAACTCCTTGCATCAGCTTGGCACGAGACATGCGTCCGTGCTATCCAGCCCAGCGTAATAAGGCACCTGATGGATATCAATGAGACAAATTCTAGACTCTAGTCGTCTCTTCCGCCCTCAATGCCAGATTACCTATAAATAATTGAAAACGGGCATGGATAATTAAAAGCAGAGAAGATAAACATCTAACCAAATTAGAAAATTCAGACAAGGGTCATAGCTTACATATATCTTCATAGCCATCTCATTCGGCTTGTCTGTACGTTCACTTTGTCCAGGTGTAGACTTCCAGGTCCTCTCCGTGCAGCTGTTGGTGATGCTCTTGGAGTCCAGGCAGCCACTGTGATGAGGCACCTTCCATATCCTCTGTCAGAAACAGCTGGTGCAAGTTGTCCAATCTCTCAACACACCTCAAGTCGGGACACAGGTGTACACGCAGCAGTCTCGCTTGGGGAAGATTCGAAACTCTCTCTAGGCCTTCGCAATCTGATATTAAAAGGACCTCTGAGAGGAAACAGATGTCCTCCACCACCTTAAGGCTGTGCACTAGTCTTAAATGGAGCTCCTTCAAGCTAGTGGCCTCCTGTCCAAACTGCCGTGGGAGAGCTCTCAGCTTGGGGCAGCGGGCAAGGACCAACTGCTTCAATCGTAGCAGCAGCTGCATCCTTGGAGGTGGGGTACCCCACTTTTGATTTGCAGCAGGCTCATCCTCTAAGCTTTCCTTACCTGCTGGTGTTGCTTCTTGTTCTTCTTCTTCAGCAACAAAGGACCACTCCTCCCAGTAGGGCATATCCCAGATGACCAATGTTTCAAGCTTGGGGAAAGCTACTGCCTCCGTAGATCTGAGATTACCCACCACAGAGCCAACAAATTCGGGTCCAATCTTGGTGACTGCAGTGGCTCCCTGGATTCTCAGATATCTCAAGTTGGGGAGCTGACCGATTGGTGAAAGATGCATACATGATTTACAATCTATGAGCTTTAAGTGTGTCAGTGAAGGCAAATGGGTAGCAGTATCTAGCCAGGTGGGAAACCTCCGACCAAAGAAATTCATAAAACCGAGATCCTCTAGGTTGTGCGCAGGGATTAGCAAATCAAAGGTTTTCTCAATATTGATTACAACATCTTCAGAATATGGCTCGTGTATATGTTCACTGCAACCTAGTAATAATTCTCTGAGATGTTTTTTGTTTGCTAGCAATGAATCTTTACTAGGAGGAACTGCTCTTTCCAGTTTGATCATACAAAGCCTCCTCAACTGCCAAAGGGGATCCAATTCTTCTAGGTTCCATCCAACTTGCATTCTGTCACTATTAACATTGCTGCCACCTATTGGAAAGCCTCCCAAATCATTGAGAGACTTCAATTCACATATCCCTTTTGGAACCAGGTTTATTGGTGTTCCACTATGGCCCAGGCGTCTTAAATTGCATAATTTGGAGATTGCCAAAGGAAGCTTGTGCAAATTTGGACACCGCTGCAAGTTCAGTATTTGAAGGTATGTGAGAGAACCAATTGACTCGGGAAGATAAGATATGTCAGTCTCATCAAAATCAAGTGACCGAAGGTCGATCAAAGTCCCAATAGAATCCGGAACTTTTTGTATAATTGAACCAGTTAAATTCAAAACTCGAATGCATGGAAGTCTTTTGAATATTGTGCGAACACAAGGTTGACAAGTACCCTTGTGTGTTCGTTTTGTGATGAGTGATTGTCAATGTAATCCACGAAGTGGGTTGAGTGGTGACTAACTCTACCATGGCGAAAGCTATGTGTGCGACATGTCTTTTGGCTTGTGTTGTGCAGGTGTGGAGCTAGGATGCGGTGGTCGACGGCGAGGTGAAGGTCAAGGAGGACGTGCCGTGCCGACGTACCGGGAGCAGTGAAGGACGGACGTGAGGCTTAGACCGAGGGACCCAGAGGCCGGGTGACTAGCCGCGGTGGCTGACACTTGGGACATCGACAAGTGCAAGAAGACATGGAGTGACGCTGTTGACCGGGTCAAGACGGCGGACACGTGAGTCGAGCGAGGCGCAGGAGGACTTGGCGGGCCGGCCGGTCGAGGACGGCGGTGACACGCGTCGGATGGCGGGAAACGCGTATGGAGTACGCTACCCGCGGACGGTTTACGGGTTTGGGCCTCAAAACCAGGGCGGAGGTTCCGAGGAGGGACGGATGGCACGTGGCGGCATCGGGGAGTTCGCGTCGAGGCGAAGCTACCGGTGAGAAGGCGTGGTGGCCGTCGCATCAAGATTACACCGGGTTGAACAACAACGCCCTTGACCTTAGCGGTTCAACTCATTTGTATCCAGGGGCAAAACTGGGAATGTGTAATAGCCCTGTTAAATAGGATGAGGGAGCCACATCTCCCTTACCTCTCCCATTTTCGTTTTATCATTTTAGTCTAGGTTTTCTTGCCCTCTTTGCTGTTGTGAGAGAGAGGTCCCAAAACTGAAATTCGTGGGTGTTTTCTTTGCTTGGATTTTGTTTGGGAATAGAGGCCCGAATCCTCCTCGTGCCCTCTGGGATTCATCTATTTTGACTGTGATTTTTCGTGTTCATATTGTGCTATTTTTCCCATTTTCGTTCATGGCCGCGATCTGATATTTCCGGAGTTTGGGTTGGTCCCAGGAGATGATTCTTTGGGGATTTGTTCGTAGCTAGTTCAATTTGGTCTGTGCAAAATTTGGGGTCGAGTTGTTTTGATTTGATCCGTTTTTCGTCGGATTTTTGGCTGTCCATCTTTCTGTTCTTCTTTGTTGTTCTTCTCTCTCTCGTCGCGTGGGAAGCAGTGCGGGGAGGTACCAGCAGAGTTCTCGCAGAAGAAGACACAATCCACGCCGGCACTGGTGGTGCGCGCGACTCACCGTGAGTTGTGCTCGCCTATAATCTCTGGTGATCCTATCCGTTCCGTCGCGAGGAACCGCTTTCGCTTCAGTGTGGATCAATTTCGGTGTCCGATTCGGTCGCTCTTTTTCTATTTGCGATACCGGTGGTGAGCGGACCCCACCTTGGCTGTTCTCTTCATTGTTCCGTTTCCGTGTCGAGCGGTCAGGACTCCGTGGTCAGCAGATCCGATTCTCATTTACTGGTCAAGCTCGATTTCTCTCTTGTCAAGCAATTGGTTCTCTAGCAGCAGGGAGGATCGTTCAAAGGCTGCGCAGTAGCATTTGCAATCATTCATTGTTGTTCAACAACAGCGGGTAATTCATTGCTACACCAAGTACTAGACACGAACGTGATTTGGTGTCCAAATTTGTGAGTGGTCACTTTCAAGCCACTGAGTAGGCTAATGTTTACTTGATTCTTTAGCTTGTTTAGTTCATGTGCGAATGATTTCGTTGCTTAGCAAGTGCAGTTCCTTGCTACAATGTTCTCATCGTGAACTAAGGTGATCCTTTGGTATAGGACTATAGAGAGCATGTGCTCGGTCCCGATCCGAGAGAGGTTTGATCTTTGGTGCTTGATTAGTCTATTTGCCGAGCTCATGTTTTGGTCCGTAACTTGTTCGTTCGAGCTCCGATTGAATTTCCATTTGTTGTGTTGGCTTTGTGGTGTCCCGCTGTGTTCCTAGGGAACATCCACCCACTTATTTGGGTCGTGAACATCACGGTGTTTGATTTGCAAGTTTGGCGGTGATTTTGGGACAGTGGCCGAAAAAGTTTCGAAAGAAATTTTGTGGCTCCCATTCACTCCCCTCTGGTCGCCGCTTTTGGTCCTTCAATTGATATCGGAGCCGGTTAAGGATCATTCCACCTTAATCGGTCCGTGATCCATGAAGGCGACATGGAGTGTGGTTCTGGCAAACCACCGCACTTCGATGGGTCCAACTATCATTATTGGAAGATCTGCATGTCTGCGCATCTCCAAGGGATTGATTGGCTCGTCTGGGAAATTTGCGAAGATGCTACTTACGTTGTGCTCCCTATCGCGGCCCATACCACCCAGGATCACAAGGATCGGCACAACGCAAATAGCAAAGCTCGCAGTGTGCTTTTCTCGAGTCTTTCGCTTTCTGAGTTCGAGCGTGTCTCCGATTGTACTACAGCTCGAGAGATCTGGGTGAGGCTTCAGAGCTATCACGAGGGGACCGCACACGTCAAAACCAGACTCTACGAGACGTACAAGCGCGAGTACGAGAACTTCTCTCAGCTTGATGGCGAGTCCATCGATGCCATGTTTTCCCGCTTTCAGACTATCGTCAACAAAATGAAAGCGAACAAGACCAACCTACCTTATAGTGATCATGAGAGGGCGCTCAAGCTTCTCTATGCCCTTGATCGAAAGGTATGGGATGTGAAGGTGTCGGCGATCATCGAGTCGGCCAACTACGACACCCTCACCGTCGACGAGCTTTTCAGCAAGCTCAAGTCCACAGAGATCGACTACCAAACCCAAGCCAAGCTCAAGAATCCTTCTGCACCAACCATGGCTTTGGTCTCAGGTAGTGGTTCAAGTTCATTGACTAACCCTTCACAAGCTTCTTTCTCTTTGTCGTGCTTGATGTCAGTCACAAAGGAGCAGCTGGAGTCTCTTGGGGATGATGAGTTGGCACTCGTCATCAGTCGGTTCTCTCGGTTTCACAACAACCGTTTGAACCGCCGACGCAGTGGTGGCCCGAAGGAGGGATACTATGGATGTGGAGATCCGGACCACTTCGTCACACGCTGTCCCAAGAAGAAGCCCTTCACCAACAAGTACGACTCCGACAAGCGCAAGGATAAGCACGACTACACCTCCGGCAAGCACAAGGCCAAGGGCGGCTTCGACAAGGAGGCGATCAAGAAGGCGTACCGCAGGAAGGCCAAAGCTCAAGAACGCGCCTTCCTCGCCTCCCTCAGCGACCTCGACGACGACTCCGACGATGATCACTCTTCTTCTCCCTTGACCGACGATGAGTCCGAGAAGAAGCGCGAGGACAAGCTCAACGGTCTTTGCTTTGTCGCCGGTGCAAACCGTGGTGGGTTTTGCACTATGGCGGTTGACGGTGGAGCAAAGCTCAAAAAGGACATCGACGTCGACGACGATGAAAACGAGGTACCGCCCACACTTGACTCACTTATGCTTGAGCTTGATACTATGAATGATACATTGATAAGTCAAGATAAGTTGCTTAAGCGTGCTGCCCGCGAGAGAAAAGAGTTTAAGGACCAGCTAGAGGTTGCTTTGAAGGAGTTGGAGCTTGCCAAGAGTGGTGTAGTGGTGTCAGAGGAGGAGGAGTGCGATGAGTGCGCTATACACATGTCTAACCTCTCTGACTTGCAATCCAAGTATGCTGTTTTGCTTGATGAATGCGATGAGTTGAAGTCTCGTTCTAGGTTGCTTGGTGCGTGCAAGTCCTGCTCAGGCTTGCAATCTAAGTTGGCAGAGAAGGTTGCCAAACTTGTTGAGCTTGAGAAGGCCAACTCAGATAGCACCACCACTACATGTGTTCGATGTGAAGCTTTGGTGTTGGAGCTTGAGTCTTGCAGGCACGACAAGATGGGAACTGAGGAAGAAAACACACAGCTTCGGTCCATCTTGAGCTAGGTGTCGTGCAGTGAGCTCCAGTTGGGCATGATGGTGAGCTAGTTCAGGTGGGGAACTGACTCATCGGGAGTAGGCTTTGCTATAGGTGAGAAGGGTGAGCATGTCTATGGCAAGGTTGGTGAACATAGTGGTTTGAACCCAAGTGAGAAACCCACCAACACTCCCCAATTGATCAAGATCCCTCCACCAGAGCCTACCAAGCCTATGATCAAAGATGGTGTGTTTGAAGAACCACCAAAAGCTCCACCATCCAAGCAAGTTTGGGTTCCCAAACCGAACCACTTTCGGAACTCACTTGATACTCTACCCAACATCTCTAGTGCACCCCTTCCTAAAGCCAAAAAGCCTCAGAGAGTGAACCACACCCACAAGAGAGTGAGTCAACCACCACCCAAGAGAGAGGTGAGGTACCACTGTGACTATTGCCATAGAGATGGTCATTTGGCTGAGTTTTGCTTTAGGAGGAAGAGAGATGAGCGGCGTGAGTACGAGTTGGACAACCGGAACATGTACCGTCCTCCCCATGGCGTACATGTACCGCCTGTTCAGAGGCGCAGTGTTAGGCCTAGAGGTGCAATGCCTCAAGGTGCTAGGCCTCAGGTGGCGAGACCACGAGGTGGTCATGCCCGACGTGGCCCAAGTCATGATCAATATGACTCTGGACCTCACGACGGTGGCTTTCAATCCCACACTCCTAGCGGACCACGTTTTCCCCCACGTGGTGATCGCTTCTCTCCAATGGGACATGGCATGTATGGTGTTTTTCCTAACATT